GAGGGGGCGAAGGGGATGGAGAGGGGTGGGGGATGGGGAAGGGGCGGAGAGGGCGGGGGGGGAGGGCGGGGGGGAGAGGGGCGGGGGAGAGGGGGCGGGGGAAGGGGCGGGGGGAAAGGGAGGCGGGGGGAGGGAGAGGGGGCGGGGGAGAGGGAGAGGGGAAGGAGGGGAGGTCTGGAGGGGGAGGGGAGGTTCGGAGGTGGAGGGGGAGGGAGGGGGCGGAGGGGGGAGGGGAGGGCTGGAGGGGGGATGGAGAGGGGATGGAGGAGGGAGGGAGGTGTCGAAGAGGATGGAGAGGGAGGTGGGGAGGAGAGGGGGAGGGGGGGTCTATTATTATGTTTTAAACATGTCTGCGCTCTAGGTATGAGAGTTTTCTATGATGCAAGATGCGGTTTGGAGGGTAGACAATGCTATACTTGCTCCAAGGGCCCCCTAAACAATGCTATATCTCTTTCATGGGCCCCAAAGAATGTTCTACATCTCCATGGGCCCCGGGTGAGCCCGGTGTGTTAGTGGGCTCACCATCAGCCTGTACTAACTTATCACCTCACCATAAACTCACAGACACACACACTAAAAGTATTCACGGTTGTAATGTTGTGGTTATTGTTGTGGTTGTTGTTGTGGTTGTTGTTGTGGTTATTGTTGTGGTTGTTGTTGTGGTTGTGGTTGTTGTTGTGGTTGTAACCTAAGAACGTTTGAGAATCCATCTTTGGGTTCATACAAAGGAGTGTTAGTTACAAGACCAGCCAGGTTATCCTAAAACTATATCTTGCGCTTGTGAGACCTTTACGCAGTAGGCAGCTATCAAACAGGGAGGTACTACCGCCTGGGAAGATATTGGAAGCATAATGTGTTGTCTAATGGTAGACCCTGCTGCCATATGGCATCACGAAAATTGTGGACAAGTGCCAGGTTGCTCATCTGACTTTCTGCCTCATTGCAAGGTCACAAGTGTTCCTCTTATTAGTGACAACACAGCATACTTACTGTATATCGTTTCTCACTCTTGATTTATCAGCATATACCTGGATCACGCGCAACTACAGTGATTTACTTGCATATATATATATATATATATATATATATATATATATATATATATATATATATATATATATATATATATATATATTTTATCAATTTTTATTAATTATTACTATTATTACAGTATTACTGCATGCCCCCACCACCCCCGAAGCCCTGATGTGGGTCAGTGACCTGTGCTCGGGTGGGCTAATCCCCGTAATAAAATATATATTAATAATAAATAAATAAATAAATCTGGTCACCGTACTACAGAATGAATATAGAATCCCTAGAAAGAATTCAAAGGAGAATGACAAGACTAATCCCGGGCATTAGGAACCTTGAGTACAGTGACAGGTTAAAGCATCTTAATTTGCACTCCCTCGAGAGACGTAGAGTGAGGGGAGATATGATAGAGGTGCATAAATGGAAATCAGGGCTAAACAAAGGTGATATAACAAAGGTACCCAAACCATCCAACCAGGAGCGAACTCGTAACAATGGTTTTAAATTAGACAAATTTAGATTCAGGCGCGAGATGGGTAAACATTGGTTTGGAAATAGAGTAGTGGACGAGTGGAACAAGTTACCAAATATCATCATTAACTCGAATACACTGGATAGCTTCAAACATAGGTTGGATGGATATATGAACGATAGGGGTTGGGTGTAAACGGGACTGTCCAGTATGGCCCAATAGGCCCGCTGCAGTTTCCTCCATTCTTAAGTTTGTGTCGCAGCTTAAATGAGTTAGGTAGATACGTTCTCACATCATAATTTAAAGGGAAAATTACACCGTACGAGCCCCTGAGAATCACAGGTCTTGTTTTTGCTCGTAACTTCCTCTGATAAAAAGTAATACAAGAGAACTTAATCATCTGGTTAATATTTAGGTACAATTTTTGCTGCGAATTTTAATCTGGTAAAACTTGAACAACGATCATGTGAACTGACTGCTGCTTCCACTATCTGAACCCCTGACCTGACCTTACCCACCCCTAACACAATCTAACCTAACCCTAAATTTTGTAACATTAACCCGACCTCACAGCAGCAGACAAACACACTTTCACTCCCTCTCTCAGCGTTAATGTGTGCGGTGGCCAAGTGGATACAGTGCTCACGGGGTCCCTGGTTCGCATGCCAATGGACCTCTTATCGACCCGGCTGTGAGTGGGTACCTAAGTTTACAGTTGGGGAAGTGCATTAATGGCCATATTGCCTTCTTGTGTACCGATCCAAATCGCCCTTAACTGGCTACGACACACACACAATAATGGTCTGAGAGAGAGAGAGAGGGATACAATTCATATCACAGTGGCAGCAACAATAACATGCTTCAACACCAAGAAACTTGAAAGATTTCGGGAACCAAACGACGGAATAGAAAACAAAACACGTTCATTAAAACAGACTTAAAAGAGTAGGAAGAGTTCAGCTAATGCACCAAGACAGGAAACAGACCGGATTGACAACATTACCCCCCCCCCACCACACCCCACACCCTACTGGGACTGACAACATTAACCCCCAACCCCCTCCTCCACCCCCGGACTGACAACAACACCACCCACACCCCCGTCTCACTCCACCCCACCCCACCCCTCTCCTCACTCTCGCCATTAGAGATGAAGTGTTGTGCCAGCCGACATATTAAAATTGTATCCACTTTTTTGCACTTAGTAACTATATCAATTCTCATGTATAGAACCAAATACGCAATGTGCTTGAATACTTCTCACGTAAATGTGAATAACAAAGTGTGAGGACAGACATACTGCCTCACACGCCTGTACTCACGCATTTGTGAATAAGTTACCCTTTATGTATAGAACTAAACAAATAATGTAAATGAAATACTGTGTAACATTCAGTGCCATAATATCCTGACAACGGGGGTTAATTATCATGACCCTTTGTAAACTCTACTCTGTAATCCTTTTGCGCTACCGCTCACAGGATGAGTGTGGGGTGCACAATAAAGTAGCCGCTGCAAGCGGCAAAATCAAAATCAATCCTCACTCTCACACACCTGAGGTTAATTTTGGGAATTAGTTAAGAAGATGAATCAAGCTGCACTTCCTTACATGGTGATAGCGAACACTCCCAGCTAATGAACACTCCCAGCTAATGAACACTCCCAGCTAATGAACACTCCCAGCTAATGAACACTCCCAGCTAATGAACACTCCCAGCTAATGAACACTCCCCGCTAATGAACACTCCCCGCTAATGAACACTCCCCGCTAATGAACACTCCCCGCTAATGAACACACTCCCCGCTAATGAACACTCCCCGCTAATGAACACTCCCCGCTAATGAACACTCCCCGCTAATGAACACTCCTACTACGAACACCCCAGCTAATGAACACCCCAGCCAATTTGAACACCCCAGCCACGAACACTCCCAGCACGAACACTTGGCTAATGAACACTCCCCAGCACGAACACTCCCAGCTAATGAACGCTCCTAGCTAATGAAAACACATTATCCATTAATTCATCCATTCTTCTACGATATTAGTATCAGGATTATATATTATGGATAATCTCTATTGTAAAAAGTCAGCCACAAAATTATGGATGAAACTCTACGTAAATTAACAGAACAACAACAACAGTGAACAATTTTGTCTCATTGAAGTGTCTCACATTATAACCTGCTCTCACGATAGATACATTAGTGATATGTTAAAACCGGCTCCCCAACAAGACCCTTTAACAAAACCGGTTCCCAAATAAGACTCTACAAAACCGGTTCCCAACAAGACCTCAAACCGGTTCCCAACACACCCCCAAACCGGTTCTAAATAAGACCCCCACAAAACCGGTCTTCAAATAAGACCGCAAACTGGTTCCCAAATAAGACCCCCACAAAACCGGTTCCCAACAAATTTCAAAAAAAAACACAGGGTTACAATAAATTTAACCTGAAATCAATTTTATTATTTCAGAGTAGAGATTCGTTTTAAGACATAAATTTTGTATTTATGGAGGTGTGGCCAGTTTAATACAAGCAACGACAATGATTTATTCCACAGTGGGTAGGGCTTTGGAGATGAGGGGAAACACACACACACACACACACACACACACACACACACACACACACACACACACACACACACACTTACTTCAACACTTGACCTAACCCAACCCAGCCTAACCTAACCTAGCACATTTTCGTGGGATATTATATTAAAATCCTTCATGTGCGCTTAAGGAGATATACACATGCGCAACAATATTATCTAATTTATTCTAAACGTATTCCGTCATGTTAAGCCTTCCTCTTGACCTAAACACCGAAAACAAGAAAATAAATAACTTTTCCTCTTGCATGCGTTAAATAAGTTAAGTTATTCATAGGATAATAAACATTTACCCAAATTTTTAGTTCTCTTTCTGCAGGTAAATATTAACTTTACAAATTTACCACAGTTTATCATATTTTCGTTCCGTTTTTTCTGGACTGACTACTATAGAAAACGATTCAATTTCAGGGGTTACTATGACTTGTAACTCTCCCTCCCCCCCTCCCCCCGACTTGCCATTATAAACGATTAAAATATATATCAATGAAAAAGTAAAGAGTGAACATCTTAAAAATGATAATAATATATTTACTTTGCAAATAAATCAAGGGGTGATAGGAGGAATTCTTCTCTTAAGACTTCATGTAAAGATAAACAAAATCCTTAATAAATTTCTACCCAAAATTTATGAGATTTTTAGGCTAATATTCTCATAAATTTTGGCCTAAGAATCTTATTATAGTATTCGTGTGTTATAAGAATTAATTTCGTGCTTCCCTCAACGAGAGATTCCATTAAGGTGAACAGATTATTATAATTATGTTCCCCAAAATAGTTTCCAGTGTCAATTTTGAATCCCCGCCTTGTGTGATGCCCTTAAAGAAGAGTTCCTCTCACTGTGCCTTCCCCGACTTACAAATACAAGCCACATACCTTATCAAACAACTGACGCCATTTCTGCAATAAAAATAATAAAGATTATGAGCATTTATTGTAAAAAAAAGTGGTTCTTACAGTATATACAACACCAATGGTACAATTGTATGACGGTACAAGTTTATGATGACGAAAAAGGGTTTTCTCTTAGTTAAATGGACAAGGTATTTAATCAACAAAGCGAGGTCATTATTTCATACATAAGGGAGAGTCTTGATGACCCAAAACACAACTTACGTCAGTCAGAAGTTCTCGTCTGGCCTCGGCCTCGTCTGAATCAGAGTCGGACTCGGTCTCGACGCCGTCTATGGGCTCCAAGTCGTCCTCGAGGTCACTGAGTGTGGCCAACATACGATCCATCGACCTGAGGATCTCGTCGTCGGAGGGCGCCGTCGGGGCCCGCTTCAGTTCTTCCTTGGCCTTCTTGGCGGCGTCTGGCGGGCTGCCCTTCAGGGTGAGGAAGCGGCGGTACTCGTCACTACTGATGGTGATGTCGCCGTTACCGTTCCCGTTACCGTTGTTGTTGTCGTCGTCTGAGACCATCTTTATGATGTGGTTCTTCTTCGGCCTCCGTCGTGGACTGCGGGGTCGTGGGGAACTCAGGTCGTCTCTCAGATCGTCTCTCAACGACCTGTGGTCATCCGAGAAGGAGGTAGAGACGGCGCTCTCGTCCCCATCAGACAGCGCCTCCACTATGGCCGTGGGGGCGCGAGGAGGCGGGGACACCGTAGGAGGCGTGGAGAGGGTAGGCGCCGGAGATATCGTGGGGGTCTCTGAGGGCGTTGCTGAGGTGGTGGGCGTGACGGTGAGGGGCGTGGTGCTGGTGGGCGTCGGGGCACCGTTGATGGGACGCGACTGGTCCCCATCTCCTCCATTACCACCGTCACCCGCCACGTGAGCCAGGTCGGCTATCACCACCTCACCGCCCCACGACACACGCACCATCTTCTCTCAGGTCACCAGGGGTCACCAAGGGGTCACAACAAGGTAACCAGAAGTCAACAAGGGGTCACAACCAGGTCACCAGAAGTCACGAAGGGTCACAGCAAGGTCACCAAGGGGTCACAACTAGGTCACCAGGAGTCACCAAGGGGTCACAACTAGGTCACCAGGAGTCACCAAGGGGTCACAACTAGGTCACCAGGAGTCACCAGCGTCTTACAATCGATAACTTTAACCCCCAACACTCAGATGAGTGACGCCTTCACTCAACCACACTAAGACCTTCCCTCTTTGAACACTTTCGGGTGATTAATCTACAGATTGATACCGTAACTTGACCCAACTGAGAGAAAGTAAGACTCACAGGGTCTTTGGTTGATGTGAGTGTATATTTCTCTCCAAGACAATGTAGAGAAAACACTAATAATCTCTCTAACGCGTTGCAAGAAACACACTCAAGTTACAACTCACTATAGGCTGAGCGGGCACTGCAATAAGACACATGAAATCCCTCTTCTTTATCTGGTTTTTTTTCACTGTCCATTGGGATCTTGGCCAATGGTCAATCACTGCTGTAAGACACTGAATCACTGTATCTCTTCCTCTACTACACTGTCTACGTCTACGAGTCCAGCACCAATTAAGACACTGCAAATTGTTCACTGCCCACTATGAATCCCGTGAAGTCACTGCGTTAAGACACTTCAACTGTCTCCTGTCTTTTCACTGTTCACTAATCGAGGCTTAGTCATCACTGTAGGAAGACATTGCAATCCTTCCCTATCCTTCACTGTCAATTGGAATCACAGCAAAGTGACACCAAATCTGTGTTTATATTTTCACTGTCTACTTTCCTTATTTTTCACTGTACACTTTGTTTACTCTTCACTGTCACTGTCCACCTCATAACAGACCCATCACTGTCTCACTTTATCTCACCTTCTCTCACTCTTTCTCTCCACACCGAAGACAAGCTTACACAGTAGAGTAAAAGGCACCTGCGACACACTCAGAGGCACACAAGAGAGGCGAGATCGTCGAGGAAATCTAAACCCAAAACAAATCGTCCTGCTTTCAAGTTCTGGGGTTTAGTTAAAGAGACGTAACGTGACAATGGTGGTGGCAGTAGTGTGTGTGTGACGCATCAACGGCTTAATAATACCCTGACTGCATTTTTACGACAGTTTCTTGTGGTGATATTGCGTGACGGTAAGAGGAAACACGATGATGAATTGTCACACACGCACACTTAAACGCACTCACTCAAGACACACACTCTCAGTTGTCTTGGCGAGAGTGATGCAAGAGGAGCTTCGTCAAGGGTGCGTGAAGGAGGTTTCCGGGCGACACGACGGGAAGACTTACTGCCGAAGGTAATGACGTTGTTGTTGTTGTTGTTGCAGGTGATCCAGTATATATTGAGAGACGACCTGTGATGATGACGATGATGACGATGATGATGACAGGTGTGACGACGCTCCTGACAAGTAAACTGGGAGTAAACAGACCGTGTCCTCGATGTTGACTGATAAAGTGATGTTTATGACGACAGGTGTTTTTAGACAGGTGAGCTGGGAGGGGGGACATGTAAGAGCGGGTCCAAGGGTGGTGGTTTACTAGACCTGGGGGAGGCGATGCTGGGGGAGAAGGGTGGGGGAAGGGGGAGTGGGGAGGAGGGGGGAGAGGGTTGATGGTCGTCACAATAATATGTTCTGGACTTGTGGTGGTGTTGGGGAGAGCGTCATGCCCACCACCACACCTCTACCACACCACTACCACACCAACACAGCACTACTACCACACCTTTACCACACCACCTCCACAACCACACTGCCAACCCCTCTACTACACTTCTACCACACCACCACCAACACCAAACCACACCCCCCACTACACCACACCACTACCACCACACCTCCACCACACCTGACCTCACTTGAACAAACCGTCTATTGTTCAAGTCGTCGTCTCAATCTAGCATCCTTGTAGCGTGGTTCGTTGTGGTCACTGTCCATCCTGTCTGTCCGTCTGTCTGTCTGACAATCGTGGGGTATCAACAGTCTCTCCTCCCGGTCAGTAGCGACGTACCGCCAGTCTCTTTCCTCCCAGTTACAGAATCCAGTTACTGTCCAGACTGGTAACTGTAGGTCGTGACAGGTAACGTAATACCGGTTTATTCCTCGATTGTCAGAAGTGAGTGGTCCTTATTGATGCTGACTGGTGCCAGTTAGTGACTGTTCCTCAACGTCAAGGAGAGATCTGGAAGGAAAAAACACAAAATGAAGACATGTAAACTATTTATTGCAACACACACACACACACACACACACACACACACACACACACACACACATCTAGGGTAGTTATAATCCTCTAACTACCCACACTAACCTAACTACGACTACACGCGCGGTGCATTATGGGAATTAAGAGAAATTACATAGCAATCTTGGCTTTGTGAATCATTATAAGTTACTGAACTGTTGGCGTCCTCATTGTCCTGAGTCACGTGATGTTGTGGTGGTGTGGTTATTGGTGTGATTGTTGCTGTTGTTGTTGTGGTGGTGTGGTTGTTGGTGTGATTGTTGTTGTTGTTGGGGTGATTGTTGGTGTGATTGTGGTGGTGGTTATTGGTGTGATTGTTGTTGTTGTTGTTGTGGTGGTGGTGTGGTTGTTGGTGTGATTGTTGTTGTTGTTGGGGTGATTGTTGGTGTGATTGTGGTGGTGGTTATTGGTGTGATTGTTGCTGTTGTTGTTGTGGTGGTGTGGTTGTTGGTGTGATTGTGGTGGTGATTGTTGGTGTGGTGGTGTGGCTGTTGGTGTGATTGTTGCTGTTGTTGTTGTGGTGGTGTGGTTGTTTGTGATTGTTGTTGTTGTGGTGGTGTGGCTGTTGGTGTGATTGTTGCTGTTGTTGTTGTGGTGGTGTGGTTGTTGGTGTGATTTTTGTTGTTGTTGTGGTGGTGTGGTTGTTGGTGTGATTGTTTTGTTGTTGTGGTGGTGTGATTGTTGGTGTGATTGTTGTTGTTGTGTTGTGGTGTGGTTGTTGGTGTGATTGTTGCTGTTTTGTTGTGGTGGTGGTTGTTGGTGTGATTGTTGCTGTTGTTGTTGTGGTGATGTGGTTGTTGGTGTGATTGTTGTTGTTGTTGGGGTGATTGTTTTGTTGTTGTGATGGTGGTTGTTGGTGTGATTGTTGTTGTTGTTGGGGTGATTGTTGGTGTGATTGTGGTGGTGATTGTTGGTGTGATTCTGGTGGTAGTGGTGGTTGTTGTTGTTAATATTTTTATTATTAGCATTATTATTAAACACCAAAACAAACACAATAAAACACGAAACAAACAAGCAGACGTAAAACACAAACACCACCACTAGTCCCTAACAGGCCCCTAGTCCCTAATAGGCCGCTGGTCCCTAACAGGTCCCTAGTCCCTAACAGGCCCCTAGTCCCTAGCAGGCCCCTTGTCCCTAACAGGTCCCTAGTCCCTAATAGGCCGCTGGTCCCAAATACTTGGGTCCTAATGGATCCCAGTGGGTGTGAATCCCTCCCAACAATGTATACGTTACGTTTTGTTTTTAGGGATCGGTTATTTTGGAAAATGACCGGCATGAATATTGGTAATTTTCCAAAATAACACAACAGACAACCTAACCCAACCTAACCTAACCCTAACCTAACCTAACCTAACCCAACCCAACCCAACCCAACCTAACCTAACACAACCCAACCCAAACCAACCCAAACCAAACCAAACCAAACCAAACCAAACTAAACTAACCAAACCTAAACTAAGCTAAACTAAGCCAAACTAAAAGCTAAACTAAGCCAAACCCCAAACTAAGCTAAGCTAAACTAAGCTAAACTAAACTAAGCTAAACAAGCTAAACTAAGCTAAACTAAACTAAAAGCTAAACTAACAAACTAAACTAAACTAAACTAAGCTAAGCTAAACTAAGCTACTAGCTAAGCAAGCCAACACCAGCCTAGCCTTTCTCAACACCAACCTGGCCTAACCTGGCCTGACCTGACCCAGCACCAACCTGGCCTGGCCTGACTGGCCTGGCCTGGCCTGGCCTGGCCTGGCCTGGCCTGGCCTGGCTGGCCTGGCCTGGCCTGACCTGGGCTAAGCTAAACTAAGCTAAAGCTAAGCTAAGCTAAGCTAAACTAAATCAAACTAACCTAAGCTAAACTAAACTAAAACTCAAACTAAACTAAACCACAACCTAACCAAACACAACCAAACCAAACCTAAACTAAACTAAACTAAACTAAACTCAAACTTCAAACTAAGCTAAACTGAACTAAGCTAAACTAAGCTAAACTAAACCAAACTAAACTAAATAAATAAACTAAACTAACTAAACTAAACTAAACTAAACTAAACTAAACTAACCTCATGGTTGAATAAAGGTTAGGTGAGGCGAAGTTAGGTTAGGATGGCTCAGTAGCTTGATACACAGTTAAGTGGTTCTGTTCTCTTTCTATTTAACTCTGGACCACGTGCTTGTCCTAGCCATGAGGTTAGGTTAGTTGAATTAATCTGTTTGTAAGTTATTTTGGTAAATTACCAATATTCATGCGGTCATTTTTGCAAAATAACCGATCCCTTAAAACCCGTAACACACACACACACATATATATTCAAAAGATAAAGGAATATATTTATATACCGGGATCATCAAGGCTAGATTTAAAGGAGATTTTGCCATCGTATAACATGGAGGGAGAGGTGGGAAGGGAAGGAAAGGGGAAGGGGAGGGGAGGGGAGAGCAAGTGCGGGAGGAGGAGGTAAGAGGAAGGGAGGAGGGATGGAGGAAGAGATGGGGGGAGTGGGGTGGAGACGGAAGGAAGGGGAAGTCACATTAATTTCTCTTCTATCTGGCATCTGAATGACATGAGTCCAAGCGATGTGGAAAAGGTGGAAAAGGGGGCGGAAAGGTGTGTGTGGGATGGTAGAGATGTAGGTGGAAAGGTGGAAAAGAGAGGAGGATGGAAAAGAAGGTGGAAGGGTGGAGGCATAGGTGGAAGAGAAGGGTGGGAGGGTGAGTGTGGGAGATAGTAATGTAAAAGAGAGAAACAGGAGGAAAAGGAAGAGAAGCAAATGGAATAACAACTGAGGTAAAGAAAGAAGGAAGGAGTGAAGGACAAGATAAGGAAGAAGACCGAGGAATAAAGAGACACAGAAGAGAAAGAAAGAAAGCAAATGAAGAAAGGAGAAAGAATAATAACAAGGAGACAGGAATAATCACAAACGTAAATAAATAAATAAATAAATAAATAAGAATTAATAAATAAATAAATATATAAACATTGAGTAAATTATCATACAAGTTTATTACGTCATAATACAACACACTAACTCCACTCCCCAGTCTCCTCCACCACTAACTCCACTCCCCAGTCTCCTCCACCACTAACTCCTCCCCAGTCTCCTCCACCTACTCCACCCCAGTCTCCTCCACCCACAACTCCTCCCCCAGTCTCCTCCACCACTAACTCCACCCCCCAGTCTCCTCCACCACTAACTCCCTCCCCCAGTCTCCTCCACCACCTAACTCCCCCACAGTCTCCTCCACCACTAGCTCCACCCCCTCCATTCTCCTCCACCACCTAACTCCACCCCCCGTCTCCTCCACCCTAACTCCCTCCCCAGTCTCCTCCACCACTCCACTCCCCAGTCTCCTCCACCACTAACTCCATCCCCCAGTCTCCTCCACCACTCCCACCACCCCATCTCCTACACACTAACTCCCTCCCCAGTCTCCTCCACCATAACTCCACTCCCCCCGTCTCCTCCACCCTAGCTCCACCCCTCCATTCTCCTCCCTCCTCCACTTCCCACCCCCTCCAGTCTCCTCCACCACTAACTCCACTTCCCCCCTCAGTCTCCTCCACCACTACTCCACTTCCTCCTCAGTCTCCTCCACACTACTCCACTTCCCCCCTCAGTCTCCTCCACCTAACTCCACTTCCTCCTCAGTCTCCTCCACCACTAACTCCACTTCCCCCCTCAGTCTCCTCGCACTAACTCCACTTCCCCAGTCTCCTCCCACCACCTAACTCCCACTTCCCCCAGTCTCCTCCACCCTACTCCTTCCCCCTCAGTCTCCCCACTAACTCCCACTTCCCCCTCAGTCTCCTCCAACATGCTCCACTTCCCCCTACCAGTCTCCTCACCACCTAACTCCCTTCCCCCCTACCAGTCTCCTCCACCACTACTCCACTTCCCCGGTCTCCTCCACCACTAACTCCACTTCCCCCCTCAGTCTCCTCCCACCACTAACTCCACTTCCCCCCCTCAGTCTCCTCCACCATGCTCCCTCCCCCCTCAGTCTCCTCCACCACTAACTCCACTTCCTCCCTCAGTCTCCTCCACCACTAACTCCACTTTCCCTCAGTCTCCTCCACTAACTCCACTTCCTCCTCAGTCTCCTCCACCACTAACTCCACTTCCCCCCTCAGTCTCCTCCAGCCTTAACTCCACTTCCCCTCAGTCTCCTCCACCACTAACTCCACTTCCTCCTCAGTCTCCTCCACCACTAACTCCCTTCCCCCTCAGTCTCCTCCACCACTAACTCCCATCTCCTCAGCTCTCCTCCACCACTACTCCACTTCCCCCCTCAGTCTCCTCCAGCACTAACTCCACTTCCCCCCAGTCTCCTCCACCCTACTCCACTTCCCCTCAGTCTCCTCCACCCTACTCCACTTCCCCCCTCAGTCTCCTCCAACATGCTCCACTTCCCCTACAGTCTCTCCCACCACTAACTCCACTTCCCCCCCAGTCTCCTCCACCACTAATTCCCTTCCC